GATATTTTATGGAAACCTCAAGGGCTTTACTTTTTCAATCCAAATAACCTTTAAAGTTCTGGGGTGACTATGTTTTGACAGCCACATATCTGATCAACAGATTTCCTTCCAAACTTTTAAACAATAAATCACCTTTTGAACAACTATATGGACTGCCTCCTACATATGAACATCTCAGGTCATTCGGTTGCCTCTGCTATCACACTATCCCCAAATGTAATAGAGACAAGTTTCAGCCTAAGGCCGATCCTTGTGTTTTTATTGGTTACCCTTTGGGTAAGAATGGCTACAAACTTTATAACTTGACCACTAGACTAACTTTGATCTCCAGGGATGTTGTTTTTCATGAATTTGTCTTTCATTTTGCTTGTGCTAGATCTATCTCTCCTCCTCTTCCTAATTTTCTGCCAGTTTCAGAAAAATCTTCATCTTTACCACCACCCTCATCTCCAACACATGTTCCTGAGTCTTCTTCCCCATTATCCACTAGCCCTTCCCCTCCTCCACCCTCACCTCCTCTTTCCACTTCTTCACCAGTTGTTCCTCCTCTTGTTCCACAACTTAGAAGATCCTCTAGGGATCACCATCCACCTGCTCATCTTCAGCCTTATGTTTGTCAACTTCCCACTTCATTTTGTGGCCCTAGTACTTCTTTATCTACTTGTTTTCATTCCCTAGCTGATACTACTATTACTGAACTTTCATCTTACAACCAAGCTGCCTCTATTCCAGCATGGCAAGAGGCCATGAAGAAGGAATTTGAGGCACACACTTGGTATATTGTTGAATTGCCTCAAGGTAAGAAACCCATTGGTTGTAAGTGGGTTTACAAAATATAAAGCAGATGGATCAGTTGAGAGGTATAATTCTAAGTTGGTTGTTAGAGGTGATACCCAAGTTGAAGGGATTGATTTCAATGAGACATTTTCTCCTGTCATCAAATTTTCTACAATTAAATGTCTTGTTGCAGTAAACAGAATTGGTCCATGTTTCAATTGGATGTCAATAATGCATTTTTGCATAGTGACCTTGATGAGGAAGTGTACATGAAACTTCCCCCTGGTTTAGTTGCTAGTTCTGCTTCTCTGCCTTCTTCCTCTTTAGTGTGAAAATTACAAAAATCCTTATATGGACTCAGATAGGCCTCTAGGCAGTGGTATGCCAAATTATCTCATGCCTTATGTTCCAGAGGATATTCCCATTCCTTGAATGTTTATTCTCTTTTTGTCAAAAAGTCAGGGTCTTCTATTGTATTGAGTGTTGTGTATGTAGTTGACATTATTCTCACTGGTAATGATCTGGATGAGATATCTTCTTTGAAAGCCTTTCTGGACTCTCAGTTTAAAATCAAAGATTTGGGTGTTCTCAACTATTTCCTGGGGATAGAGGTCTCTTACTCTTCTTCTGGTATTTTGCTTCATCAAAAAAAGTTTATTAGAGATCTGCTGCATGATTATTATTGTGAACTGGTATCCCTAGTGGTTTCCCTTTGGATCAGTCGACAAAGTTGAACGCTGATTGTGGTAACCTTCTTCCTTCACCTGAATCTTATAGAAGTTTGGTTGGGAAGCTCGAATTCTTAACACACACAAGGCCTGACTTATGCTTTGCAGCCCAGCACTTAAGTCAGTTTCTTCAAACTCCTAGATTTCCACACATGCAGGCTGCTCTTCATCTTCTCAGATATCTTAAAGGCACTACTGATTTTGGTGTCTTCTTCAGTAATTCTCCGGGCTTTACTTTGGCTGCTTATTGTGATAGTTATTGGGCTGCTTGCCCTGATACTCGCAGATCTGTTACTGATTTTTGCATCTTTTTGGGAGGTTGTCTTGTTGGATGGAAGGCTAAGAAACAGCCCGTTGTCTCCCTTTCTTCCACTGAAGCTGAATATCGCGCCATTTCAAAGGTTGTTGCTTAACTTTCTTGGGTGGTTAGGCTCCTATCTGATTTTGGCATTCCTATTACTACTGCTGTCCCTGTATTTTGTGACAATCAAGTTGCGATCCACATAGCCAAGAACCCTGTTTTTCACGAGCGCACCAAACACATTGAGGTGGATTGCCATTTCATTCGGACTAAGCTTACTGAAGGGCTCATTTCTTTGCACCATGTTTCCACATCTGAACAGTTGGCCGACATATTCACCAAGCCTCTTAGTGGGATTCTACATCATGCTCTCTTACCCAAGTTGGGGATTCTCCCACCCTCCAACTTGAGGGGGGGTGTTGGAATAATTGCTGATACACACAAGGCCCAAACAGACAAGGAGAATGGCCCAACTTAGATTTTTAGATATTTATGTTATATTGTATTTTGGGTTAGGCTAGTTTTATTTTTGAAAAAATGGCATGGTATAACAACCTAATAAGAAAATTGGCATAAAAAAGCCCTAGTTTTACATATTGGCACCCTATAGCCCTACTTTAATTTTTTATTTGTTTTAATTGGTATAGCATAGCCAACTTTATCGTACTTCAGCACTTTCCCCAACTTTTCCCTCTCTCCTCCCCTTTCTCCTTCTTTCACGCTTTTCACTTTCCCCTCTCTCCTCCCCTTTCTCCTTCTTTCACGCTTTCTTCTCTATCTTCCTCAAAAATCAAAATCTTCAAATCCCCCAATTCTCTCCATTTTTATCCGTGATATACTCTCTACTGTGTCTTCTTAATGTTTTTCTTAACTCTTTTTTTAAATCAAGTCCCATTGTACACATTTACTATCTTTCTTTAATACATAGTATAATTTAATATTGAATTATTTTGTGTCATGCTATAAATAACATTTATATCGTGAACTAGGTAATGAATATCCATAAACAAACACCAGCATATTTGTGTATGTCTACCCACATGTATATTAATACATAATTGTACTACTACTACTACATATATATATATATATATATATATATATATATATATATAGTTCTATATATCTGTAAACTAACACACTAGCATTGTGTATATCTCTATCCACATGTATATCAACACTTAATTGTACAACTAGATGTAAATATTTGAGTGTGCTAACTTGTATATACTGATATTTATATCCGTAAAGTAACTACACCAGTGTTGTGTATATCTTCATCCCCATGTATATCAATAATTTATTGTCAAATACATGTATATATTTGTTTTAGCTAATATGTATATCCTGTTCTGTATATCGTTAAACTAACAACACCACTATCTGTATATCTATCCCCTGTATATCAATACTTAGTTTTACAAATAAATGTATACATTTAATAGAGATAACATGTATATCCTACTATGTATATCCGTGAACCTACTACTCTAGTTTTGTGTATATCTCCATTCCCGTGTATATCAATACCTGTACAAATACATGTTTACATTTAGTTGATCTAACATGTATATCCTGGTGTGTATATCCTTCAACTAACAACACTATTATTTTGTATAACTCTATCCCAATGTATATCAATACTTAATCGTTCAAATAGATGTATACATTTTATTTTATATTTGTATGTGCAACAAGCACAGAGATGTATATCCAAACTTGTTTATCCTTATGTACTGTTATATCTTTCCATGTCAATAAAATTCAGTGTTCAGTATGACAACATAGTAATTCAACTTCATATAAAATGATTAAATTGTAAAGATCATGTGCCATAATACTGTTTACATTTCAATGCAATAATATACATGATGAATATTATAAAGTTGGCCTTGATCGATTAACCTTAAACTGAAATTTTTTCTGAATAGCATAATTTTTTAACACCATCATCAGTGTCTCCTTGTCCTTGTAAAGTTGGCCTTCCGAAACAGTATTATTTAGAGGATCATCTATTATTGGAGGATCACCACGCCTTCAACTGAGTAATCCACAAATCGATTGTTGCTATCCTAGTGTCCCCCGTGCTGTATCAAAATCGGCAAAGTAGCCATTGAATCTGTATTCTATATACAGAGATTCAAACCCTTCTTCAGCCGATTCAAAAATAAACAAAATTGTTGCCAAAGAAAGAACCGTGCTGGCTGAAAAATCTTCGAACCCTTTTTGATTTTAGAAGGAAATATATTTTCTGCATTTGGTTTTATTTTGGTCGACTGGGTAGTTACGCTTCTGAAGGGATACATCATGCAAGCGTGATTGGGGGATAAAACCCCCCTATTTTTGAGGGGTTGTATAATCGTGTCTTTTGAAATTTGGCTATTTTATGCCAATATTTTTGGGCTACTAGTGCCAACCTAAATTTATGGCCAATAAAATGCCAATTATACTGAAGGGTTGTTATACGGTGTCAATTCCTCTTTATTTTTCCGGGTATTTTGGCCCAATGTAAATAACAAGAGTAGGCGCAATGTAAATAAAGAGAGTAGAACTCTCTAGACAAAAGACGACTGACTCATTCTTTCTTTTTCAATAAAATGAACTCATGTTCTCTCTCTCTAGTTTCCCCAACAAGAACCCTAGTCACAATTCACAAACTCACATGAAATTGATCGAGTTCCTATAATTTCACAAATTCTCCTATATATATTTGTCCTTGTCTAAACGGAGCTTCATCATGATTTAACTGAATTTCACATACCAAAATATTTCAGAAAAAATGTCCAAATTTACTCCTAAACGTCGAATTATAATTTAAAATTCTCCTCTGTGCTACTTCAAGTTTGAGCTACGTTAGTCAAATGAAAATATGAGAGATTTGCTAACTGCTTTTGTCCCTTTGCTAACTGCTTTCGTCCCATTCTATGTACTGCAATTTGGCAGGTGATGAAATTTAACAAAAAAGACAAATTTTACAAGTTAATGACGTAAAATAAACCATAAATACTTATAACACTATATCTCATCACATTAATTAAAAAAGAAAGAAAGTTTATAAAATATTCTAAATATAAATTTATTTATTTTTCAGACTAAAAAAAATAAGTGTAGCTCATTAGACGAAAGAGTCATATTTTAACACAAAGTAGCGCAGAACCCATCAGAAATTTTACTAAAGTTTAGGAGAGAATCAATGGAGGGTCGGCCGACGAGCCAACCCTATAATAGTTCCACAAATTATGTCGGCCATATGTCTTGATATCCATACGGCACTCACCACTCGGGCGAGTGTGGCATATTTAGCCAACCGACCCTTTTTAAGTTTTCAACATTCTTCACTCTTTCCTTTTAATACTCAGCTCCTGGCTTTCATATTTGCTCACTTACCGATGTGGGATAACTTGAGACTTTTTTCTTTCCTTCTCTTCTTTTCAAGTCAAGCAGTTTTGTTTTGTTTTCTTTCTCCCTAAGTAATTGAACAGACCAAGTACTGGCATGATAATCTCAATTTCCAAAATATAGCTTTCGTTTGCTCTTTGCGTTGCATTTTCTGTGAAATCATTTGATAGAGTACGACATTTAATATATCTGCTGGACTTGTCTATTAAAAGACTAGTAATTAAAAATATGTTAAAATAGTCAAATGGTTGATTAAAAAAAGAGGAAATCGGTAAACAAATCTGGATGGAGTGAGTGAATATGTCGGCTGCGGAACAACAATGGTACATAGCAACTAGCATGAACAACAACGTGCAACTAATAGGATTTTGAATCGTTTATCAAATTGATATTCAGTTGAATGACATTGAGGTCGGCAATAGGCGCTCAATATGTCAGCTACTAGAAAACAATGGTTAGCAAGATTTAAATTACCCGTTATAAGTGACTTAGTTACCCAGTATGTACTCCAGATTGGACTCGATCAGCAATAACTTTTCTTGACTGATTTTCAGGACTGTCGATATCCTCTTTCACAAGTGCTACTATGTACTCCAGAATGAGATGATAACAAGCATTAATCAAATGAGTCGGGAGGGAGGAGTCAGGCGCTCAGTTCCTCTGTCTTCAAGAGAAGCCACAAAGACCGAAGAAAATGTGGCCCTCAAGCCCCAGTTTCCGTCTTCTCAATCTCATAACCCTGCAGGAAGCTGAACAATAAAGGAATTGAGAGAGAAATGTTAATAAGCAATAACATCACACAACCTACAGAAACCATGCACACTTTTCAAAGGCTACTACTGTATGACCCAGTAGGTGTGTATTCAACATATCTGACTATTTATTTTTTTACTGCAGAAATGCCTTCCAGTTTCCTGGATCCAGAAGCTTGTTGGTTGCAAGTGTGTCAGAGAGTTCATGTTTACATGACCAAATCTCTCTCTCTCTCCCC